ACAAGGATTGGTTTTGCTCCTGACAGCAGGTCCTCTGACCCTGCTTTCACCACAGGCAGCCAATGGCACCTTTCCAGGCATCATCCTGGCTCCTCTGCAAGTGTTCTTTTACTTTTACCTCTTGGGATAGGAGAACTCAGGCTTGGGGAAGTTTGGGAACTTGTTCACAGATACACGATGTTGTTGTGCATCTGTTATCTAATTCCAAGTCAGTTTGGTTCTGGCTGGTTCTATAAACATGAGGAATATGGTCACCAGTGGTCAGTGGAGTACTGTGCTCTGCCTTACGTGTTCACGGACAAGGCATTGGTAGAACCATTGCGAGAAAACAGGAAAGCTTCTATTTCTGTTCTCAATTTAAACATTTATTTTTCCCATAAGAGACATTTTTCAACAAAAGAGTTAATCAGATTCTTTCAACCCCCTTCAAACAATGTGGGGAGGGAAGCTGGGGTTGAGAAGTGTGCAGTTGCAGAGTGTGCTAAAAGGAAATGAATCAAATATGAGGCCATACCACCAAAGACTTATTTCTCAAGTTAGAATTTTGTCTGTATCCATTTAAAATACAATTTCTATTAAGTTGACTGAGACTGAATGTGTACAATGAAGTTTCCAATAGGAAACAGGAAGTTTCCTTTAGGCGTGTACTACATGTGCAGATAAAATATAAATAGTACTTTAATACATAGGAATAACTCCATATAGTTGAGTAGCAAACTTCAACAATTGTAATATTTGATTGTCTAGAAACCACTGGTATTTCACATTAATTCTGGTGTTTTCAAACAATTCTACCAAATGTCACATCTGGAAGGATCACTGTTTGAAATTAAATTGTTTTTGGAAATCACTGGACACCACAAAAAGGAATTTTCCAACTGAGCCTGTCTATTGGCCAACTATGAGACTCTTACTTATGACAAAGTTTTGTTTCACCCCTTTAACAATAAGACTTGTCTATTCATTTGAAAAATATTAATATTAAAATATATTCATATACCTGATTTTAAAAAGCCATTGGTACTTTGAATAGATGCTTGACATTTAATTTGTTTATCCTGAGATACAAAGGTGGGAAATACAGGCCATAGAATTAATTCTAAACTTGAGTCTATGTTCCTGAGTGGAACACTGCTGGGAGCACTGCGCTGTAGATCAGTATGGCCAGGCCTAACACGTCCTCCCACAGATGAGGCAGGAAACAAGGAACACGCATCTAGTTCGCTTCCTCCAGCCATCTAGGCAGGGCCCCGCTGGAGGAGAACAGGCAACAAGAGGGCGAGGTGGAGCAAGGCTTGGCCAAGAAGAGGACTGTCTGCCTCCCTGCCCATTCGCCAGAAAACCATTAACCACATGCCTGCAGACCTTAGCTACTCTCCTGGCTCCAGTTACAGACCAGCCCCTTTTACTTCCCCCTGCACTTCCCTTATCTCTACTACTATAAATAAACTCAGTCCATTTGCCTGGGGTCTTTTTCTCCCATCAGGAGTTAGAGCCCCACCTGCCCCCACCTTATATCTCTTTGTCTCTTTCTTAATCTCCCATCCTCTTTTCTCACTCTGAACCCTTCAGCCACGCAGGCCATGGCAGAACACAATTTCTTAGCTGGAGTTTCCTTATTTTTTTCCTTTCTTTTTCTTTCACATTTGAAATAAAACTTTTTTATTTTCCTTATACCTTAGAGGATATTGGTTGATTAAATTTCTTGTCACATTCTTGTCAGAAATGTTATACTGAAGAAAATGGATACAGGATTCTTTGATGTTTGGTTCCTATGCGCATCAGTTGAGCAACAGGCCTGACTCTCATGGTCAGGTGGCTTCTAGATCACAAGGTAAAATGAAGCAACAGAGAACAATGGGAAAGACAGGAAAACCCATAAACTGAGGCAGCCACTCAAGTTGTCCAGTGTTCATAAACAGATAAAAGAAAGCCTAGCCTCTGTCTAACCTGAATTTACATTATATTCTTATCTACTTGTGTATAGTTTACATGCTAAATTGTCCTCAGCTCAGGGGCAAAGGCCAAGCAAGAGAGCTTTTGACAAAAACCAGAAGGCTGTCATGGTACTGGCAAAGAAACAGACCTGAGGATCAGTGGAACCCATTAGAAGATTCAGAATCAACTCTAGACACACTCAGCCACCTCATCTTCAACAAAGGAGCCAAACATCCTTACTGGAGGAAAGATAGCCTCTTTAATAAATGGTGCTGGAAAAATTGGGTTTCAACTTGCCAAAGATTAAAACTAGACCCGTATCTCTCACCATGCACTAAACCAAAATTAAAACCAGATTAAAGAACTAAATATTAAAACAGAAACACTAAACTGGCTAGAAGAGAGGTTAGGCAGAACTCTTGAAGACACTGGTGTAGGAAAAGATTCATGAACAAAACCTCAGTTCCATGTGAATAGCACAATCAACAATTGGGATCTCTTCTTATTAAAAATCTGCTGGACAGCAAGAGAAACCACCCACAGTGTGAAGATAAAACCCACCATATGGGAAAAAATTTTTACCAGCTGTTCCTCAGACAAAGGACTACTTTCTAGAATATATTAAAAAAAATTTAAAATCAGAGCCCCCAAATATAAAGACCTAATTCAAAAATGGGCATCTGAAATGAACGGACATTTCTCAGACAAAGTAGTAGAAGTGGCAAATAAACATATGAAGAAATGTTCAACATCACTGGTCATTTGAGAGATGAGATGAAAACAACACTGAGATTCCACCTCACCCCAGAAAGAATGGCTGCTATCAAGAAATCAACCAATAACAAATGCTGGTGGGGTTGTGGGGAGAAAGGAACCCTTCTCTATTATTGGTGGGAGTGCAACCATTGTGGAAATCAGAATGGAGATACCTCAAAAAACTAGGATTAGAGGTCATTTGACCCAGCTATTCCTCTCTTGGGTATCTTCCCCAAAGAATTATAAGAATCATACCACAGCAACATATGTGCACCCATGTTTATAGCTACACAGTTTTGCAATAGCTGGAAACAGCCCAAGTGCCCATCAACTGGAGACTGGATAAAGAAGATGTGTTGTCTTTTTTTTTTAATAAAATGGAGTACTACTCAGCCATGAAGAAGAAGAAACTAGAGGCATTTATAGCTAAATGGATGCACATTGAGGCCATCCTCTTAAGTGAAATAAATAGGACACACATGTGTAAATACTGAATAATTTCTCTGGTGTGAGAAACTAAAAGTGTAAATAAGGTTCAAAATGTATAACTGATGATGTGAAATAGGGAGAAAAGGTCCAAAGGGGTAGGGGAAGTGGGAGGGGTAGGGGAAAGGAAAGAAGGGAAAGGAAAACATATGAAAAAAAGGAAAAAATGGAAACAAACTCTTTGTAAATAGGGAGGGGTGGAGAGGTTGAATGGAGGTCAGGGGACTGGGGAAAAAATAAGAACCAATATCTATCATGTAAAGGTACAAGTTCCCAATGGTGAGTGTAACTGTACTGTATAGCTAAAATGTACCAATAAACTTAATTAAAAAAAAACACAGATGGCTGTCACCTTGGATGGGGCAGAAAGAATTATAACTTTGAGATTTTTCTTTTTACTATCAGGGCTGATGGCCTCTATGCATCACTATCCTTTCTCTCTGCTCTCTACCTTCTACTTTCATTTTTCTGAATCTTTAAAATTGGGACTATTGATTATTTTGTTTCATGTTCTCTATTTAAAGGTAGCATGGAACATGTGTGCATCTTAAGTACTTTAAAGATGATACATGGCCCCAGAGCAGGAATGTTTGAAACTTATTGAGTTCTCTGACTAATTAGGCCCTTCTTTAGTCTGTAGGACATTTCTTTAGATTTAAGGCAACCTCAAAAGGTAGGATAGAGAGATAATGGATGTAAGGAGGAGTTTTATATAACATAGAGGGAAAGCAAGAGGTGAGTTATAAGTAAACTCTCTCAATTCCTTTTGGTGTTTATAAGGAGAACTTGTGCCTTATATCAAAGAATAATATTTCTGTTCACAGATGGATCACTTCTGTTTCAATAAGTACTCTTTCCACAGTGTGTTGTATTGACTTTGGCAGATCTCAAAGAATCCTGGGAGATATTTTAGCTGTTGACATTGGAATTTGGACTCCTAAGAACCAGAAACCCATTTGGTCCTTATGTAAAGATTTACTAAGCATCTATCACTAGGAAATGTGGATTTATGTTTTGTGCTGGAAGCAGGGAGCCAGAATGGGAAAAAGAAGGTCTATGAAGACATATAAAATCAGTTAAGCTATCTTAACTTTTTTGAAAATATAACCCTGTTGCAGCTTTTGTCAACTTTAGGAATGAATAATATGTTTATAAAATGTGATCCTGTTTTCTCAGAAGTTACAATTAATATTTTTCTTGTAGAGAAACACAAAGCCTCTGGTGGAGCTCCAGTGCAAAAACTCCCTATTCTTGCTTTGGGCTGTGCGTTTTGGGAGAAGTAACAGTATCTATCATAGTCTCTCACAAACTAATACTTGATTTATAATTATTAGTTGAGGATAAACTTTAAAATATAATTGTTAGATTATAATCTGTACAGGTGAGCATTACCTTTCAAATATTTTTATGAAGAAGCTGTACACCAGTTTTATTGCTTTTTGGGGTTTTTTGGTACCGGGGATCGAACTCGGGACCTTGCACTTGCGAGGCAGGTGCTGGAACCACTGAGCTAAATCCCTGGCCCATCACCAGTTTTACTGTTGATGCTGCTGCTCCAAAATGAATAACTTCCCCTTCCCCAATACCCACATATTCTACACATGCAATATATACACACAGGTTTCCCTGGGTTGGCTTTACAACCAACAGTGTAGAAAAGAACTGCTCTTGTTACCTTAATATTGTATCTTGTACACCTGAGAGCCACGAGATCCTAGAATGCTGCCCTTATATTCGGGCATGGTTAGGCCCAAGCAAAGATGAAGAAATGGCACAGTAGTAGTCCAGGTGCCAGCATCATCAAGAGGCAATTGTGAGGTCAAGGCTGGTTTTCATGACATCAGCATGGCTGAGCAAGAGAACTAGAGCCACTGAAGATGGTGAAAATGGTGAGAACCTCAGGGAGGACCCCCCTGGATATTTTATCTACAACCTCCAAAGCATTTTAAGTCATTCTTGGGTTTAGGGTTTATAGAGGCAAATAGTTCTAGAAGCTTTGGTCTTCATTTCAAGAACTCACCATAACAGAAGGCATAATGAAACAAAGGACAAAGAAAGCTCTTAAAATTATCTCTTTTCTGTCCCTTTCTACTTCCTTTCTTATCTGATAGGCTTCATAAGCTTGCCGAATATTCCACCGAGAATAACATATTACAGCTCCTCCATCTTCCCTCCGCTCATCTAAAACACTCCTTCATCTGCATTCAAAATCTTACCAAAACAAAGCAGCACTGGTCCTCTGTCTGCACACTGCTGATCCCATTCCCTGTGCCTGTTTTCTCTCCAGGTTTCTCATGTTCCCTGGTCACCTCTCCTGCTTCTTCAACCTCCTTCTCTTCACTGGATAATTTTCCTAATCAATCAAATATAGTCTGAAAGCTCCTGTCATTTAAAGAAACCTCTCTTAACCCAATTCTCTATTTCTAGCCTACTCTGTATTTCTCTCTGAGTTTTTAGAGCCAACTTCTCAAAACACATCTTATCTTTATCACCCAACACTCTGTAGCCTCTACCACTACATTGAATGCATTCTTTCCAAAGTTAACAACTAAATCCATATGGATAAATCAATGGATTTTAAAAAATTCTTGTGTGTCAGACCTCTCAGCTCTCTACACTGCTTTCTATTCTTGTGTTCCTGATATTTTCTCTGATCTCAGCCACATACTCTCCGGGCATTTCTCCCACATTCCCAGGTTCTCATTCTCTAACTCATTCAGGGATCACTGCTGACTCAGTATTCATACTGATTTCTTTAAATATATGTTAATAATCCACAAATGGCCATCGTAGCTCAGGCCTCTCCTCTGAGTTCCAGATCCATATATCTGGTCTAATTTAATTAAATATCTCAAGAGCATTTTGAATTTGATATGTCAGAATGAAACTACTGACCCTAGTCCCCCAAGGATACTCTTAATCATTTCTTCCTCATCTTAAGAAATGGCACAACTAGTGCCATTGCTTAAGCTCAAAATGTAAGAGTCATTTCTGGCCTCCTTTCTCACCCTCCATATCCCAGTTGTCATCAAAGATCTGCCCATTGTACTTTACTGCCATCTCTGCTGCCAATGACTTTGGCCAAGCAGCTGTCAGCTCCCATCTGGGATCCTTGAATAGCCAAGTGACCCAGCTGGAGGGAACACTACTGCCTTGACAGCCTCCTGTTGTGTCCCTGCTCCTGTCTCACCCAGTGGTGGCTGCCTGTGGACCTTTAGGTGTATTGTAAGATCTGTCTCATCTCAGGGCTTTCACACATGCTACCCTTGGCCTGAATGTTTCCCCTTGCAGCCACTCCTTTCCTTCACCTCCCTGCCCCTGGTTAATGCTTTCATACTTTTTATGTCTCAACTGAAAAGTCTCCCTCCTTGAGGTTTACTGTAGCCAAATCCTGAATGTCTACCTCAACCTGTCAAATGGCAATTTAAAATTGTGTCTATGTGTATTTCTATATTCATGTTTCTATATTCATATTTTCTCCACAAGACTAAAAGCTCCATGAGGCCAATAACTGTCTATATACCTTATGACTATATATTTAGTCTTTAGACTAAGCCTAATGATAGATATTAGTGAATAAACACATTTCCTTCCTCCTCCTCCCTAACATCCAAGATTTGCAGGATAACCACTCCATGTTTCCTAGCTCTCCTTTTCTCTCACACAGGGACATGGAAAGATGCAACTTTACTGCTGGACAGACTGTTTCATATCCACTCAGGAACCCATTGTGTGACTTGGCCAATTGTTTAACCTCAGTCTTCCCACCTAGAAATTAGAGAAAATAGTATCCATCTTATAGTAATATTTGTGAAGATGAAACTTATATAAAATGCTGATAATAAAAGACTGTGGTTTGAATGACGTCTTTTCCAAGATTCATGTTGAAACTCAATCTCTGGGCCAACACTGTTAATTGGAGTGGCCTTTGGGAAGGGATTAAGTTAGGAGGGCTCCACCCATATGAATAGCATAAACACTCCTATAAAAGGGCTCAAAGCTGAAGGGACCATTCTCTTTTTAAAAACCAATTAATTAGGCTTCTGAGACACCTTCCCACCACTCTGGAATTTCTCTCTCAATGGGTCTGCTATTTGTGTATAAGAAGGCTATTGTTTTTTGAGTGTTGACCTTGTATCCAGCTACTCTACTGAATCTGTCAATTCAGTCTAGAAGACTTTTCACTGAGTT